TAATAGAACGGGATAACGAGAAGCTGCTCCTCTAGAATAGTGGCCTGCAATAACGCAAAGATTTTTATTTTGTTTTCTGATAAGGCCTTATTTGTGGTGCTTTTTCATCCAGAAAAAATGACGTGACTCCCGTGCAAGTTTAATTTTTCTGTTACAACAGGGCTGCGGTTGAGCAGCTCTCTTTTAAGTTTTAAATTTTTTAAGGTTTCATTTTGAACTGTCAGAGAATTGCTTTTGCCATCATACACAGAGTGATACCAGTATTTGTAAGGAATGTTATTTCTAGTCCAGTGACAGAGGAACTACAATCTTGCAGTCTTTCAGACCAAACATTTCTTCTTGTTTTACCGAGTCTGCATCAAGTGTTGACCATCAGCTCTCTTTGCAGACTGTATACTAGATATTTCTGTTGTAGCTTCTAGGGACGTGAAAAATGAAGTAAGATTGTGCTTAACTAGCATTTTTTTGACATTCACATGGTAGACTGTTAGCTTTGTGCGTTTGCCATACAGCTTTAGAATGGCAGAGTACGTTGTAGCCGTGTTTTCATGGCTTGTTCCTTTGTATTTTGCATTAATGCCGTGAGCTTTCAAACCGTGTTTGTGTCAAAAGCGATTTGTCTTGTTTCACTGCGGAAAAGGAACCTCAGGAATATGTGGTCAAATAATAGATGATTGCTTTGGTAATTGATTGCAGCTTAAACGAGATGTAAAAATAAACATTTTGAAAGAGTTTTGAGAAGTGTATTTCAAATTGATTTAATAATTTACTTAAAACTGTTCTCGTTGTAATTAATATTTTATTTCTACTACCCTATCTAAGGAAGAGTAATTTTGCTTTATATTAAAGACTGAAACAAAGCAAATACTTAAAACAGTGTAAAAGGAACTTCAGGTAGAAAGTTGCAGTGTCTTCATTCTTGTATAGCTTTTAATGCTTTTCTCCGGAGACACAGCTATAGTCAAGTGGTGAATAGTCCTGCTAATGGGTGCCAAAATGAGGCTGTAAATTAATTTTTTCTTTAGAATATTGCCAGTTGTCTGCTGCTTCAGCTCAGTGGAAGTTTTGCTGACCTGTACCGTCCAGAAGGGAATTACCAGGAGTTTGAGCAGTGGCCAGGTCCAAGTGCTGGCTGCTTGCCTGTGTGACTGCTCCCCTGAAGCTCTGTGGGATGGGCACAGGGATAATAAATAAAGAGTTCATAGGCTTTAGTTTGGTCAGGATGGCTTCATTTACCCTACGGATGTTGGTCTTGCTTTTGCTTGTGAGTCTTCACCTGAAGAGTTTTGGGTTAACTCAGCTCAGCATAGGTGGAGTCTTTGAGAAGCACTATTGCATCTTGAGGAGTCGTTAGCAGGCACCTGTGAAGCAAATTGTTTTCCAAAGAGCTTGGATTAATTTGGATGGGTTTCTGCACACACAGATAATCAGGGCAATTCTTGCAGTTTCAGGCCTCACAATGGCCAGAATGCAAATATTCATGAGGAGGGTGGACCCATCTTGGTGCTCTTGTAGTTACTCACTTTCCTGTCTGCATTTTGGCTGGTACCTGTTTCCTTGGCCATCCCCGTGGTTTGTGCTTCCCGTGATAACTCCTGTAACTCCTGCAGCCTCTGACATGTGTGTACATAGCACAGCACCCCAGGCCAGCCTTGCTTTGCTGCTCACTGATTTTCCTGTGTTGCTGCTACATCTCTTGCAGCTCACCAGCAGTGCTTTTTGCTCAGCATCTACTGGGGACAGCTTGTTTTTTATCTCCCCTGTGCGAGGAAATCAGTGCTCCTGGTAAAGACAGCGTGAATTAGGTAGTCTGTTCCTGTGGCTTATATCACAAAAGATCCCCAAAAGCTGGGAGGAAGGTTTCTGTTTAGGTTATGAATCCTAAGATACACTATGATCTGAACCCATGGATCCTCTTCTTGAACCCAGGAGTTCAGCTCTGAAGTGCAAATTCCTGTAACTCAAGGTGTGCACAGCTCTTGGTCTGAGCCAGGGGTCTCTCCATGGACACCATTTCTAGGGAGGAGGGGAAGGAGGCATGGTGACCCATCTCAGCACAGTGGGGTTTAGCCTCTACCCGAGTGTAACTTGATCTGCCCATAGTTGTATTTACTTAAGGGAATGAAATTTTGCTTCTCCCCCTCTGTGCACCAGGGATCATTGATCAGTTACTCCAATCCAAATTGGACTCAATTATTAGATGCCTCCAGTAACTTAGTTTGATAAAATGTTCTGGGCTGCATAGCTGTTTTTTAATTGTATAGTGGGATTGTACTTTGCTCTACCAAGATAACACTTGTTAAATAAATGAAATTTTCAGTTTCAAAGGAAAGTTCCAGCAGGTTTTGCAATTTTCAAGGTTGACATCAGAGTTACACTTAGAAACGATGTAATGCTTACCTCGGTCTGTATTTTACTGTCTGCAGAATGTTTCCCTCTGTATACACTTGAGCAGAAAATTGTGTTACCTGCATAATAGTCTTGGACTTTGTTTCTGATGACAGATTGGAATTATAAGATGGGTCTGTGTTTGCAAGTTAGTTGGTTTGCTCATATATTAAGTGTATTCATACATAGCTAATGTGGTGCTGCACAGGGTTTTGTAGGCTGTATTTCAATGTACTGGTTTCAAGTTCTGTTTGTAATCTGGCTTTGGCAATCCAGCCAGCTGCCCCTTTAGCTCCTGAAATACAAGCCTGTGCTAAAGCACTGCCATGAACTGTCATGGCTAATGCTGATACATCTGTAATGTACTTATCAGATTGCTAATTAACTCACAGCCACACAAAACAACCCACTCAAAATTCCTCTCTTTGTTGGCAGTTTCAGTGGATTTGCAGGATTTGAAAGGGCATGGCCAGGATTCCCTTGTTTTGGTGATGTAAATAATGTACTTTTGTGATTGCTTGACAGTTAAAAAGTTAGGAGTCTGTTTCGCATGAAAGTAAAACAACAGTAGAAATAGTGGGTCTCAGTTTCTTTCAGATTTTTAGCCCTTAACTGTACATTTAATCACCAGATGTTCCCAGTTTTATTTAAAACAGCGATATAACTGGAGATGTTAATGATTTAAGGGATAAGTAGCCCCATGAAGTGTTTCAGAAATTAACTATATATTTTTTAGTGTAAGTAGGCATCACTGCTCCTTTCTAGGAGTGACGTAGATACAGCTGTGACGTGCATCAGCTGGGTGCCTTCTGCATACCTATTTTAGCTAGCTATACACTTGATGGTAAAAACAAAAGCCTGTAGTTTTAAAAACACACTGATTCATCTATTAGGTGCATTAAATCTGCTTCCCTTTATACTTCCAGGGAGAAAATCAATTTGCAATTAAATGCTTTCTCTCACTAACATGTGCTGTAAAATTACTTTAGGTTTGGAGTTTTTTTCATCTTTGTTAATGATGTTCTAAGTTTTTTTCAGAAAATCAGCTCACCTGCCATTCTTCTTTTTTCTGAATGTGCCTATTATGATTAGTTACCCAAACATTTTTTGACTATTAAAACACAAGTAATTTATTACCAGTCAGTCTGCAATAAAGAAATGGGTTTGAGGTTCTTTAGAAAGGAAGGTATGCCTGAGCACTGCTAATACAAGTTTGTCCAGGGGAGAAGAAATGAATAAGAAATACCACCTGTGTTGAGGGAAACTTGAGCTGTTTGGATAGGCTAGTTCGCATTTGCAGTAGGTCTGCAAGGCATTCCATGCACACAGCCCAGCATTCCTAATGATCCAGGGGTGTTTCAAGCATGCTTGAATTTGCTGTTTGGGACAGATTATATGGGTGGCTCTTCCTCAAGCCAAATTACTGCTACTAGGTACTACTGCGGATAATAATAATAACTGAGTCATTAGCAGGTTGCACATTGACCAGCTGCATTAGTATGTTCTTTTGTACTTAATTAATATAAAAATTTTGGAATCATGGTGTCTGTACCTCTGCAAACAGTGCTGCATGGATCTCAATTGCTTGTCAGCTTCCATGGAGAATTTTTGGAATTGGCTCTGTGGAAGACTCCCAGATCTGTTTCAAACCTCTGGCTCAGGAAGCCGTGCTGCTGGAATAGTGCACCCAGGGCAGGTGTGGTCATGGAACTGGGTGTTTGCTGTGAGATGCTTGTCCCAGAGCTGCAGAAAGAGCTTAGCTTCTGTCAGCACTGCTGACAGCTCACGTGCTGATGGAACTACTCTGGCCTCCATTCATTAACCAGTAATTTCTTCTCTAATATGTTCAAGAAATGTGTGAAGTTAGAAGTCATATTT